GAATTGATTCGGAGGATGAGTGGGATCGGTACATTGCGACTATGGAGAAAGACGGAGAGGTTTTGGCGACAGTATGTGACATACTGAATTCGAACACGTTGCAGGTGGTCAGTGCTGCAAGGGACCTCAAAGCAAGAGTCGTCGAAAGCGGAGATTGCGCACAAGGAGAGCGCGAAGAAAAAAGAGCATGTGAGTATGGCAACGCCAATGTTCAAATGGCATATGACATCGGAAGAGATAATGGGCGCTTACAGGCACCTCCGACACAGTGGACTGGAGCTGTCTTCGAGCCCAGATGGAGGCAATGTGTGGAGAACTACTTGGAGGGACCAAACGGACCACCAGGTCAGTGTTCGACAATGGATATGATTAACTGTTTCCAATCTTTGTCTTGTGTCGATCCTGGGGTATACAAAGGGAAAGTGAATGAGAACTTTAAAGAATTCATCCGAAGGTTCCGTAGGAAGTACCAAAGGGTGGTTGTGAGTGATCAGACACTTATTGAGATATTAGGTGATGACCACCTAGGTGGCAGAGCAAAGTCAGTGTTCCTTTCGTTACCGATGGAAGTTAGAAATAGAGGTTTTGAGGCGGTAGTGGAGGAGCTAGGAAAGCTGCTGGCAGATGATTGTGTAGCTGGTCGAATGCGAGCCATTGCTGAACTGCGCGAACTGAGAATCCGCCCTCAGCAGGAAGTTGCTGATTTCTGCGTAGCCTTGGAAAAGTTAGGAAGGAAAGCGAACCCAAGGGGTAGTATTGAGGATAATTCGCTAGAGTACGCGCACATCCTGTTGTCTAACTTGAAGCAATGGCCAGAACATGTCCAGTTATTGAGTGTACTGCATAAGGCAAGACCAGAAAAAGCGTATGAAGAAGTGAAGCAGTTGGCTCTGTCTATTGAGCTATCGAAGCGGATTTACGGGGGAACCCAGGTAGAAAGGGAAGACCGACACCGCGATTGGAAGACGAGAGCTCGGTCGTACAAAAGCAGCAATCTGGAAGTAGGCGGAGGAAGGACCGCAACGACAGGAGTCATCACAGAAGTTGCGAGAAAAGAAGTCGACGGGAGGGTAGATCGAATTTTCCTGAAAAAGGTCACGCGCATAGGTTTCTGGAACGAAGGTTGCCCTCCGATAGTAATAAGCCTCGGGAAAGGAATAGCAATGATGGTAGAAAGTGCTTCAACTGTTCAAAGTTCGGGCACATTGCGAAAGAGTGCACCCAAAGAACACAGGTAAAGCGAATCAAGGAGTCACAAGTAGAGAAGGAACCTGCAAGCGATGACAGGATCTCGCTCATCGTACAAAAAGCGAGGAGTATGGGAGTTAGATTAGCAGCTGATCCGAGAACGACAACTGCATTAGTGGGAAGACGAATGTCAGGTTGGGCGAGGGTGTTGGATACCCGCGTTCCTGCTCTGCTAGATACTGGTTCAATGATAAGCATAGTCCCCGTAGGAGTGTTATCTCGAGCCATGGACAGAGGCTTCGATGTGGACAGCTTAGAGCTCATAAGGAAGGGGAAGGATCTACCAGTTTATGATGCTTCGAACAATAGGCGCAGCTAGAATGAGGGTTGAGTTGGAAGGAGGACGGAGTAGTGAAGTAGCTTTTTATATTGCGGATAGTCGTGAAGAGGAAGTACTGCTTGGAAATGCACTAGGCGATTTGGGAGTTACCTTGACAATTTCGCAGTCAAAACCAGATGCCAGTGAGGCCGAAGGTGTGAAGCCCAACACAGTGAAGGTAGCAAAGAGGATATATATCCCACCTCACGGATCTAGGGTAGTGTCGGCTCACTGTGATGTTGGAGAACAAATGACGGAGGGTGTCCTTTGGCCAACTAGAGGGTTGAGTTGTGGAGTTTTCAAAATAAGGAATCAGAAAGTTGAAATACCAGTGGTAAATCATAGTGAGGAGCCTATGATTCTTGGACGAGGGGAGGAAATTGGCCACTGGGGTACCGAGAAGTGGAAAGAAAAATGGGAAGCCTTTAACCCATGTGTGTTGGAGGATACAGGGAATAGGGCGGATAGCCACGAACGTCGAGCGCTTTTAATAGAGCAGCTCAGACAAAGCTCGAATGCCAAGAGCTTAAGCGAGGATATTTTGGAGGTACTAGACGAATTCCCAGAGGCTTTTTCCGTGTCAGATACGGAACTCACGGGAACGGACAAGGTAGTGATGGACATAGACACAGGGGACAACAAGCCCATCAAGATGAAGACACGGCCTGTCCCATTAGCAGTAAGAAAAAAGTTGAAGGAGCTGTTGGTTGACCTGCAAAATCGTAAGATCATCGAAAAAAGCAGCTCAGAATGGGCATTTCCTATAGTCCTAGTCGAAAAAAAGGATGGAAGTTTGCGCCTGTGCGTAGATTACAGAGAGCTCAATAAGCAAGCTCAAGCAGCAAGATCAAGCAAGATTCGTATCCGCTGCCCACACTGGACGCAATCCTACAGAGTATGGCAGGGAAGAAGTGGTTTTCGACGCTCGACCTCTGTAGCGGGTATTGGCAAATACCACTTTCAGAGAAGGCAAAGGAGAAGTCGGCGTTCACAACAACCGAGGGACTTTTCCAGTTTCGAGTCACGCCATTTGGCCTGAGCACTAGCCCAGCGGTTTTTCAAAGGCTAATGGACACGGTGCTGCAAGATTTGCTAGGCAAAGAAGTATTTTGTTACATAGACGACATCATTATATGTATATATTTTCAGAAAAGTTACCAGTAGCAAGGATTCCACTCCGGCGACGGCGCGCCCTCCCTCCCCTCATCGTCGTTTTTATTCTTTTTTTCCGTCTGTTTCCTCGTTCGTTTGAAATAAAATTTGTTTGATTTCGCGACTCTACACTACACTCAAATAGCTTTGTCAGAGAACTGTGGGGACCCATTAAGACCCTACAGACAAACAATGGAATGCTTCCGACTGAGGGAAAATCGGATTCAACTTGCTAGGAACACTGTATCCTCTTCTTCGTTTTATTTAAAAGAAATTTCTAAGAGAAAACTTGTTCAATAACTGCTGAATAGTACAATTGAGCCATGTGCCCTCTGGCTGTAATTATAACGAGTGTTGCTGGAGTAAATGAATCAAAAAGGAGTTGCTTTGCACACGATGCAAGTCCATCTCAGGAAATTTGGATGAAAACTGTGTTACGGCGAAAAAACCGCAAACCGCAATCCTTTTTTGATTTTTTTCTGTAAATAAATGAGGAGAGTGTCCTACAATATCCAAGTGAGTTTTACCTCAAATTTAAATGAATTACATGCAGTGAAAATATTTTAGATCTCACCACATGAAAATAATGTAGCATGTACCACAACGAACTGGGCCACGAAATCTTCTTGATGTTGACTGCAGAAGATTGAGCACAACTAAGTACTATTCGAAATTCTAATGAAGTTGCAGCAAAATTCTAAGGAAGTGCAAGCAGTGAGTGAATTTGTTTTGTTTTCATTTTTGGTAATTGATGCAGGATCAGATGTTTATCAGATATTTACACAAGGCTGGTGTCAGACTTTGCAAATCTACGATATCGCTATGTATGACATCAGCCTTGGGTAGATGACCCTAGGTATTTAGTATGACCTTAAATAGAAACGCTTACTTGCAAGAAAAAACGTATTTCAACTTTTGTCCGCGATCGTCGCAACAGATCCCTAGAATGGCCATGGGTGTGAGCATGGGTACGCTATAAAGGTTGGAGTTTTGACGAGAGGGACGCAATAATATGCGAAGCACACTTACATGGTTCTTGATCCATAACTTGGTGGCCGTTATACAATCAAGAACTATTTTGATTGCACACCATGTGCAGCCAGTGTAGAGATCGGTATAGTGCGAAATAACGTAACCGCATCTTGTTTCGGCGAACATCCATAACCAAAGCGTTGTATCAAATATCACATAGCATGTTTCATCTGAAAAACTCATCGGCTCCATCCAACCATTCTGCTTTTCGACATAGGGCCTAGGAAGGCCACTCTGCATGAAGATATGGCTCAGGAGGTAATTTTTCAAGCGGCGCGACAAAAGCGGCATCGCGAGCAGCATACGTACTGAGACTATGCCAAGCTGGGACCCGTCCACGTCCGCAAATTTCCCAGAAACTCACATACAAAAATCATCTCAAATGATCTCAGAAAAGGTTCTGGAATGAAAATTGTGACGCATATAAACATATAGAAGACAACCCGCTGAATGGGTTGCATTTCCCTCCTCTTCAATTTAATCAGAAAGAATCGTTATTTCTTCGGAAGAATTTGTCTGCCCGTGCTCAGTGGAATATGAAGTGATTCAACAGGATCTCCTGCTTTAGGATGCGCCATTCAGTCATCCGTGATTAACAGTCGCCGTGGTGGTTGAAATTTGACATGCCTTGGTGCTTTCAAACTTTTTGGCTGGTACATGGGCTTACGCTCCCTCGCCCCTCTTCCATTGGTCAAATACGACCTTTTCGTTGATTTTCGCGCAACGGTCGATTGACTCTGCGCTCATATGAAGAGATGGTTGAGCGTAAACAGGAACTTCAAATCCTCGCTAGAACGGCAAATTTCCACACTGAAACGTTGTTTGTCTTGACAGGTTATCAGAGCAGTTCCTGGCGCATGTTGGTATATATTTGTAGGTTCAGAAAATGTCATTTCTGAAAGTTCGCACATTTTCAGTTTTTCACATCAATGACTCTAGTGTTGCCTAATATATCCTAACATATCCTCCTGAACGTCGATGATGCAAAACATAGATTTACCGGACACTTGTTGAGGAGAAACGACGACAGTTTGGAGTGCCGCAACTGCACGATGGTACCCACGCAAAAAGAGACGGCTACCTGGCCGTCCTCCTGCACTTTAGGCAGACTCTCTGGCTTATCGCAACAATATTTTGAATTCGTTCTCAAAGCTAAAGTATGTTCGCTGGTCAACCGTAGTCAAGAGAGAGCATGGAAAGAGTTGCGGTACCCGCACAAGGTCCAACCATCAAGCAGCAGACGGGTGCGCTAGAGCATTTAAGTAAAAGTTAAGTGTGCTAATAGACACAATTTTTGAAGCTACGGCGGAATTTCCGTTTGTTCTAATTCTGTTCAAACATAAGGTTTAACAAAACGTGGCTTTTATGAAATCACAACAGTAGATTCACTTCGAGAAACTCGTGGTCTAAGGGTAAGTCGCATTCCGGGATGGAGCGAGTGAGTGAAATGATGAGAATAAGCTGAAGGGAGCACGGAGAGTGGATGATGAGTTACAAGGGGTTTTCTTTGCAGCAAATGTCCACACGACTTAGAGGGCAGCACTGCTGCTGGTCCGTCCGCCCACCGTGTTAGGACGAATTAACTGCGCCGTCTCGCCGATCTGCATGCTCTTAAAAGATCTCTTTTTCTTCTCAGTGCCCATTATTTCCCAATTCGTTATCTCACCCTTATCCTCGTTCAAATTTGGAGCAGATTTGTCGGTATTTCTGTGATTTCGGGTCTCTTTACTTTCGCTTTTTCGTTTCAGGTTCAATTCCTATCAAGCCTTCGTAGTCAGTCAGCACCAACAAACGTAAAAAATTTGAAGAGATATCCCAAAAGATATAAGGGCGGATATGCTGCGATGTACAACTGCGCCGCTCTCCCACTGACGAGCGGTCCGGGTATCAAATGTCATGCGTGGAGTCAGCCGGGACAACAGGGTCATCCCTCCGGGGTCGGTTAATTGGTACCAGACTTGTTCTGGGAGAGATAAAAACACTGACTTGAACATCGGCTGGCCCCCGCAAGTCATTGTATAGGCCACATCGCATTCAAATGCCACTGCGAATGTACAAATGGAAGTAGAATGCGTGCCGCATCCCAAAAACGGGATTGATCAACGGCAAATGCTTTATCCTTTATCCTTTAAAGTATGTGCTGAAGCGCTTTTCGCGTGCATCTTAACACTATTTCTGAGATAACAAATTCACTGTGAAGGAATTTCACTTCATCCAGGTGCTTTATGAATGCACAGAAGCCGAAAAATGCAGCAGTATACAAGAACCAGCGGGAACGCAGAAGAGCTTGGAAGAATAGGAGTTTCATAAGCGTTCCGTAGGTTTCGCCCACCCTGTAAATGTTCTCTTGTCTCGGAGAGTAACGTTCTCTCCTCGGTGCCCATTACCTCTCATCTCACTATCTGCCGCTTATTCTCATCCACATCGTAGCACAAGCATATCTGTCTGTATTTCCTGTTTTTAACAGTTTCTTTTCCAAGAATGCTGGGTTGTGAACAAAACTTCCGCCTCAGACGGGATTCGAACCCGTGGTAGTGAGATGAGAGGTAATGGGCATCGAGGAGAGAACGTAACTCTCCTAGACAAGAGAACATTTACAGGGTGGGCGAAACCTACGGAAACGGACGCTTACAAAACTCCTATTCTCCCAAGCTTTTCTGCGCTCCCGCTGGTTCTTGTATACTGCGGCATTTTTCGGCTTCTGTGCAGTCGGAAAACGAGGGGTGCGGGTTCGAGTCCCGTCTGGGGCGAAAGTTTTGTTCACAACCCAGCATTCTTGTGAAACATTCGCAAGGCGAACTGCGGCCAAAAACAGCAGTTAACAAACAAAAACAAGTCAAGTTTCTTTTCCCTTCTCTTTGCCAGCGGTCCCTTTGCCCTCTTACCTTCACTACAAAACGCCCTTACCCCAACAACTCAATCCTTGGGCTAGTGCATAGTGTAACCAGCAGGCCATCTCTCTATAAGAATACAAGCCTTATCTGACTGCGCCAACATTCCAGGAAAACATTACTGAGCTCTCAGCGCTCCGAACCGTCCCAAATATTGAGTGCACTCCTCACGTCCCCAGACTGCATTCCTCAGAAGACGCTCCGAGCACTACTTGAAGCAACAATTCCAGCAGAAGTCGTGCTGAAGAATCTATTCATTGGGTGGGATAGAGTAGCCTACGTGTAGCACAGATGTGCCGTTGTCGCGGCTCGAAAGTGCGCGACAACGGCGCTAGAGTCTTACAAAGCTGGCTTGTGGCCACTAATCTTGGCTCTTGGACGAGTTACCTGGCGCACATCCCATGACACGCAACTTGACATCACGCAAAGGCAAATTCTATTACGCGGGTCTGTATGGTCGTCGGGCACAGTGACTGTGTCATCCATCAGAGGCGTCACTGCTGTGCTGCTCTCCTCTATTCCTCATGTTCGACAGTTATTTTTATGGATTGTTTACAACTTTTTTCCGTATCATAATTTTTAGGGGCGCTGTCATAATTTCAGTGTTATGCGCTCCAATTGCAATAATGGCCGACTATTACTAGGCGATTTGCCAGCTTGCAATTGAAGCGCATTTACTGTGGGCAAGTTCAGACAAACTCGCTCCACACGCGTCATTCTTACGCATTGCTAACGATAAGGGGCAGAGGGGAAGTTCCCGCTTGGAGCCCTCCTCGAAGTTTTTTTATTTTTCTTCAAATCAGTCAACTCTTCACCTACAGCTGCATTACCTGCTGTTTTTAGCCCGTATATTCTTTCTGGAAACGTTACTTCGCATCAACTCGTCCCAGTTGGCTGGAGTTCCCACGTTCTTACATATCTGTGGGCTTTCTATTCACATGCATTCCACTAAGTTTACCACAAATAATGCGGAATTCTACTCTTATCTCTGAAATATTCATTTCATAGAACTTACACCAGAAGTAAGGGATCACATGGCAGAAGGCGATCAGCCAAACCAAAGAAATGAGACAACAAGTACACTTTTTGGTTAGGATAAACTTGGCACGATATGGCAGCGAGATTGCAACTAATCGATTGATAGATATAACCAGATGTGTGTAGACACATACATCCCAAAATAACATGAGCAGCTGGCCAATGAGTTTGCCCACCCGTCCAGAAGTTATGGTACTTTCCCTAAATGAGCTATATTTCAAAATCAAATGCGACATCTTTGCCATTGATGCTTATTTGTAGTGAAAAGAGGAAACAGCTTTGATAAGGTCAACGATCAGAACATCAGTATGCAGAACCTCGACTCACGGTACAACGTAGAATCTGAACGCCGACTTACAATAAGCTGAACCTTGTTGCTCCCAGAAGCATCACAGTGTTCAGCTTTTTTACGTTGACTTGAAAATTCGCTCTATTAGGCTACGTTGGGTATCGAAAGAATGTTAAAATCCCCTCTTCTTATTTTGGAGCCACATTTGCGCAAATGTTTCCTAAAGGAGTCGCACACGAGCTTATCTTCGATGGTATCATGTGTGTGTACCAAAAAACGGACTTTGCGAAGTACAAGTCAAGATTGCTGCTTTCAAACTTGTCAAATCTCAGAATCTTCCTCAGCTGTTTCACATGCTTCCTGAGGAAATCAGAATTTTCGTAAAGAAGGTCTTTGATGTGGGAGGGTTCTTTTTAGGACACTACCGGAAATCGAGTTTCTTTTGAAAACTTTATATAGCTGAAAAACGTAGCCTTACCTTAGATTCATCGGTGTCACCCAGAACATGAATATCATCATTACGCCCATATTGGCTACACAGTGTGAGAGACATAGAAGTCCGAAAGAACTTCTAAGCGCTGGATTCCTGCGCACGGTAATCAACGCCAGAGTATTGAACACAATTCCAGAAAGAGCAATCTGAAAGCGTAAGTCGCCGATGAAATGCGTATGAACAACGTTTGAAGTAAGGACCGATTTCTACTCCGTTTATTGATACTTTTTTTGTGACTTTTGACAATTCTCTTTATTGATACTTTTTTTGTGACTTTTGACAAATCAGACAAATCATGAAACCACATGGCACATACTAAAAGGGATATTATTCAGTGCTCGTTCTCCAAGATCGCCATGTTGAAGAGTCCAAAGGCTCTAAAAGTTATTCATGAGGCTGTTCCGCATATAAGTGGCCAGACATCGCCTCAACCCATGACCTCTTTGTGGTTCCACGGCGTCATCTGTGGAACCAAAAGATGTAATTTTTTAATGTAGACTGAAAATGCAAGGTCAGATTCCTCATAAAAGCGCACGCGTGGCCACTTCAAAAGTGCTTCGCTGCCCTTCCGGCGTCACGTTCATGTTTGTCCATGGTGCAGACAGAAGGTGCAACACAGAAAAGAGATACTAGGAAAATGGAAAAAATGTAAGTCTTGGTAGTCTAGTTAGCGAAAGGTCATTCTGCACGTTGCTCAAAAACATGATGGGGATTTGCAATGGAAGATGAGGTGGGATCGTTACCTCCAGTCACATTCACAAAATTGAATGCTGCCATGGCTGCTGATATGGCAAAAGTAGGACTGAATATAGATACAACTGCGAGGACGCACCGTTTGCGATGTAAGTGATGAGCGATCCTAGAAGCATAAGGTCTGTCGTAAATACTTCATTTCCAGTGAGCACAAATGAAAAATTCTTTTGAGTACTCCATGCTTTTCGAACAATCAAATTGGAGAAAGTTGCCAGTAAATCGGATGCTGACCTCTGGACGATGAAACTTGCATGGAAAAAGGTTTCTCCAAGATGTTCTAGCTTCTGGACAATTTGGCGCAAATTCTAAGCGAACAGGTTGTTGCCTATCAAAAGCTCATTACACCGTGATTCCTTAGATTTCAGTCCGAATCTGTTCTCTGGTTTTATGTTGATCGGTTTTGAGCTATGAGTAGATTAAGGGAATCAGCAGGAAGTATTTCAGTTAGGGTCAGAAGTGGGCTCATGCCAAAGGGTTAGTGTGACTCGCTGCCGCGACAAAGAAGTGCGCGGTGAAGGCCGCTAGCTGCTGACATTGTCTGCGTCCTGCCTGCGATACTTTTCGCAGACCACGACGGATGTTCGTTGTTAGTGCGTGGCTGGCTACGTGTGATTACTAGGTTGTTATTGATTGCCGTATCAACCGATGGAACGGCTGGCATATCCAGGAAAACTCGTTTGGACGTGACTCTCCCCCAAGCAAGCCTCCTTCACTGCTAGAAGGAAAGGGGTTTCGATTTCGGTGTTGTCGACAGTTTTTTTTTTCGTTTTTTCTTCACTATCGTTCCACCTTCCCATCTCTAAACTCAATATCAGGCGCCATAATGCCGAAACACGAGCCTGACTTTTGCCTTTAAGCAAGCTAAGCGTCATTTGATGACATGCTTAATGGTTTGGAATGAGTAAGAACTTATATGAAGGTCTTTGTTCCTTTGTCTGGGTAGGGGTATTTCGCACTGACATTCATCTTGTTTCTCTTACAAATGAAACTGCCATTTTCGTGTCCTACGTAAGAATATCATAGCAGTAAGATTTGGTTACAAAGGATGGGTGATTTTAATGGTGGGGGAGCTTGTACATTGAGCTCGGTAAAATAAATATCGTAGATTGGCTACCGTATCTCGAGGTTTTCACTTTCACTCCCTAAGGATTTCTATATTTTTAGCACCACATCAAGCCATACCTTCGTAATCATTTAAGCAAAGCTCTCCTACAAAAAATGACGGTGAGAGTAAGATGGCGTCTCAGACTTGTCGCAGCTTCAGAGAAACACGCATAACTCAATTATCAAACCCCTCATGGTCATGCCATTTCGTCACGCATCCTTCCCTTCATTGTACTCCATTTCATTTTTTTTCAATCGTTTATCGCAACGTCAGCCCTAGCAGCTGTGCCGACTAGTGATATGTAGAGCGAAGGTAGCCTGTTACGTAGTGAGGGTGGTGGCGATTTTCTTGAATCGTTGCCCTTCAGAACCCATGAATATGTGTAATTGGCTTGAGCGAGCGCTACACTATGTCGAAAAAAATTGTTATATATAGATGCAAAGATTCGTCTAAACACACTCGACCCTTTCTTTAATTGCGATCTGCAGCAGCGAACGAACTCATTTTCACTGAGGTTCCAAGAAAGATTTTAATAGTATGCCTGAGTATGCCATCTGAGCAAATTTATAGGTTGCGGAATGACCAGTCATTATGTTATACAATACATCAAAAATTTTCTTTACGAGCTTCCCAGGAATGCTCTAGTACGGGGGGAGGCAAAAAAAAAAAGACATTTTGCCTATGTCGGGCTTCGGCTTTTTCGCAGAGGATTGCCGGTCGCGGGGAGAGCTCTCACAGCAGTTCATTATAGTGTGTTCTCTATTAACAGTGACGCTCCAGGCTCTCCTTCACTGCCCTCACCGTCTTCAGAATATGACGTCATCTGTCACCGTCGTCAGGCTCAAGGAGGTCTACCGTAAGAGCTTCAGCCTGAAGCTCTTACGCAATTTCGTGAATCGATTTAATGTTGGATAGTTTTCTAGAGGCATTAGCTACCACTGTGCAAATCCCCTCGGAACTAGCTTTCCAGTAAGGGTCGTTATGGTACACGATCCTTCGAAGACCCCATTGAGCTCGACCAGTGCACCATGTTTCCAGGGCAAATTCTTCTGATGCCGTCCACGTAGGTGGCCACTATGAAGATTTTCTTATAGAATGAAATGCGCTCTTCAATAATAAGTTGGGAACATTCGGTCTGAATTGAGCAAAGTGTGATTAAATCCATCTGAAAGTGGAGACAAAATGTCTTTTTTTTGCCCCCCCCCTGTATACCATTTATAAACCAGATTGGTCGCCCCGTCAACCGCCGGGACGTTGCTTCTCTGCGTAAGCTTCACGTCTTCCGCTGTGGTGCTTCCACTTGTGTATAATAATGAGACTGAGAGTGTGCTCGATCGGTGTTTATATAGCGTTGTGGGTGTTATCAGAATCACAACATTACTCCTTCACTCCCTCTCTCTCCCTCTCTCCCCTTCTCCTTTCCTGCCCCTCCCTTCTACCCCCCCCCCTCCTCCGGCTGCCACGGCAGCACCATGTAGAATGAGACTGAGTGTGCTCGATCGGTGTTTATATAGCCGCTGTGGGTGTTATCATAATCGTGACATCAACATCACGACGTGTAGCTTTTCGAACTCCTTTGGCCTATACAATGACTTGCGGGGGCCAGCCGATGTACAAGTCAGTGTTTTTATCCTCCCAGACAAGTCTGGTACCAATTAACCGACCCCGGAGGGATGGAAGGCTTGGTTGGCCCGGGCGACTCACGACCCAGGATTTGATCCCCGGACCGCTCGCGTGGTAAGCGCACCGCCACTATACATTCCCAGTTATACGTCTATGGCATCAGAAAAATCTGCCATGCATCTAGCATGGTCCGAGCTCACAGGTGTCCTCATCGGATCGTGTACTATTATGTCGTTTGCTTGGGAGGGGGTGTTGCACATTCAGAGCTAATGTTTCCAGGGAGCTATCCAACAATGTATCGATTCGAGAAATTTTGTAGGAGGTTCAAGCAGGGGCTACTCATAGAGGGACATCCGAGGAAAATTCGCTGTAAGATTTCCGCCAACGACGGCAACATTTGCGACCAAAAAAAATCGCTGAAGTGCGACATGGGCAAAATGTTGCTTTTTTGACCCGTGCATAATAGATGTAACAAATCTGTTATCCATTCCGAGATAGTTCTCGTTTTGCTCCCATTATCCCTTCTCTATCACATACAATAAGCGTTGTATTCACTGAGCTTGCCTTCGCTGGATTTATAGTGAGGATAACTCAGCGAAATAGGACGCTCGTTGTTCTCGTAATTTCATTGAATAAAGCAATTCTTATTTCCGGGATTAAATGAGATCTGTCATGTAAATGTCAAATAATCTGGATACAATGCCTTCTCGTTAAGAATTCATCCTGAGGCGCATTCGAAAAAATTTGCCTATGGCTTCCGCCAGTAAATGAGATTTTACGATCCCTTCAGATAAAATCGTCCATCTCAACAGCGGAAGGAAAGACAAAGTGCATAGAGCGAAAATGATTTATTATGAATTTGATCATCTTTGCTCATTTGTTGGCCTAGAATTTCACTCATGGTAAAAATAGATTTCCTTACAGAAATTTTTAACATCTGATTGTTAGGAGGGGAAAAGTTCGTCCCCTGATCACATCCGTCACAAAATAAAAGCTCTCTTCACAGAATGTACGATATCCCGTTGAACATTTACCAAAGGACGACTGCCCTTGCGTGAGATATGATCTGGAATTCCTAAAAACTATGCTGATTCAGAGTACGACTTCAGGAAAATGTGGAAAACATGGACAGGGAAAAATAAACAAACAGCTCTTGGAAAAATAAATATCGACAAAAGGCAAATATGGGTGGTATAGAATTAGTGTTACTTGTTTATTTTGTGTTATACTAACACTGATGCTTTTTTTACCGATGGCGCACCTAGAGTGCATGATAAATAATAAAGAAATATAGACAAGATCCAGAGGAGATCAATGTTTTCGTACTTCAAATTTGTGCCAATTCAGTACACTCACCTTCTGAAGTAAAAGGAGACCGATTAATGTATT